TTAGAATTTGGTAAAAAACGAAATGATTCTCTGACGAATAAAAAATTGTTTAAAATACTTGGAAAGTTTTAAATAAATGATAATATAACATGATTCTCGTTTCATATTACATTTTTATCTTTTGGATTTAAAAACGTGAGTTTTTTCGAACGAGCATCAAAATTTTAGAATTTGGACTTTTTCTTAGCGAATTTGGTAAAAAACGAAATGATTCTCTGACGAATAAAAAATTGTTTAAAAGACTTGGAAAGGTTTAAATAAATGATAATATAACACGATTCTCGTTTCATATTACATTTTTATCTTTTGGATTTAAAAACGTGAGGTTTTTTTCGAACGAGCATCAAAATTTTAATTTTTCGAATTTTTCTTAGCTTATTTAACAAATAACGAAATGATTCCATAACGGATAAAAAAAGTTTTAATTATGAAGACTTGAATAGGTTTATGTCTATATTATTTATATAACATTAAACTTAACGTTAGCTTTCAAATTTATATTAAAAAATATCTTCTTGTTAATTTCTGCTAACGTTGATTGTTTTTTGTATTTGTTTTTGGCCAAGCAGCAAAAGTGCAGGATGTCACAGTTTTATACAGTCTGCAGAGTCGACTGTTTGAATGGAAATTTACAGGAGGTCCACGATTACATTCGAAAACTGTACCCCCACAAAACAGAATTATACGTTTATATTCAGTATATTTTATATATTTGTATTCAGTATTTTTTTCAACTATTTCGATTTCTACAGGTCAAGGAGACTTGAATAATTCTTATGAACATTTTTCTTGTAATAATCTGTCATAAACTTGTGACAAGTATCAAATGTAGAAAAAATATGTCCGGCAATAATTTATAATCATAAACACTATTTTCGGACGGTTCTTTCGAGTTCGAAAGGGTATAAAGAAGCGGAAACTGGGTGAGGGACGGTGCTCATTCATGCTTTAGCCTTTTATTGACGAAAACAGATTAGAAACAAGGACAGTAAGAAGTTCAGGGTCGAATTTGCCCCCTGTGTACATTAAAAAGAAAATGAAATCGGCGTCGCTGGAAAACCACGTGGTCGACGTGGCCAACAATTCGAATGGAAAGCTTTTGTTACCTAGGAAGGGTCGGAGTCCGGGGGCGGTATCGATCTAAACAGTGGAATTTTCGAGGAGGGAGCCAGGACGTGGAATTAGGATTAAACCCACCCTCTTTTATGTGTTATTTCACTGCCTGGGGTGGAAGAAACTACCTCTGTGCGGATGGAAGAAGACCTAGCTCAAGCAAACCTTTTTTCTACCCCAGTAGATACCTACAAAGGCCTTTAGGCAGGTCATACATGGCCCAGTTTCGTAAATTCGTTAATAGGAAAAAGCTAAAAAATTGTATTTCAATCACTACTAAAATAAAATAAAAGTAGAGCTGGGGTAAATTATTTGTTTTGAAAAACCTAAAATTTTATAATAAAAAATTATTTCTGATTTCATTAAGCAATATAATTTGTTATATATCTATTTTTTGTGATGTTATTGTGCAAGGTTTTATTCAGTTGTGCAATAATAAATTTTTTTAGTTTATGAGAATATTCTTAAAATAAATGCTAAGTCAAACAATTACATTTTTTGCAGACTGAAATATAAATAATTTTCCTTAAACATTTTTTTTAACAGTTACGTAATAACTAAATAAAGCAAGATATTAATAAAAACTGTCCAGATTAAAAATGCAAGAAGAAAAACAGAAAAATTAAACACACTCAAACAAATAAACAGAAAAAAAACGAAATATTAATAATAACAATGGAGATTAATGGAAGCAAGGAAGGAAATCAAAAATTTAAAACACACAAATAGAAACATAGCAAATTATTAATAACAACTGTCTAGATTAAAGGAAGCAACGAAGGAAAACAGAGAAAATTAATACAGACTCTTAGTTTTGTTTATATAAAGACTTGAAAAGGTTCATATCAGTATGTAGATTATATTATAAATTCAACTTGCTTAGATATTTATAATATATTTATATTAGAAAAAATCTTTATATTTGACTCCTGAAATATAAAAACTCATCATAATTGATTTTGTCCATTTGAAATCATTTTGAACAAGCATCAAGATCAGTTTTTATGCATTCTAAAAATAAGCACATAAAACATGTACCCTCTTTCAATATAGTCACTGTTTCTTTTCAATTCCCTATGAGGAAAATATTGAAATATTTCATGAAAAAAATAAAACATTATATTTTACATTAACACATTTTATAAATTTAAACACAAAATATTGCTTGAAACGCATTTTGTTATAGTTAGTTAATAATTAGATCTTTGATTCATTAGCATGCTCTGTTTGCTTGCAATATCATATTTCATTGTTATTTAATAATTATTTTAGTTACTCTATTTTTTCATATATTTAAGCGTTTTATCGGTTCTTAAAAGTAATAATCAAAAGCATATTCCCTTGAAATAAATAATTTACCTCTGCTTTTTTTGAATTTTGAAAGGCGTGAAAATCATAAATAATTACTGATGAAACGGAATATACTTAAATTTAGATCAGTACAGTAAATTAATTACATTAAGGGCCATGGAGAAATAACTTTTTGTATGTTACTGAGAGTAAAATTATAGCTTATTAATCAATAAAAACAATTTAAGACAAGACCTTTAATTGTTTATTAATTATTTCTTAGCACTATCACAACTTAAAAAAAGTTTTTCTAAGGTTCTGCCAGTGAACGAACTAGCATCGGTTGTTTGACCGTACTAATTCTTCTTGCATAATCTTTGATCCCTACACATCTAGCTGTTTATTTACGTAACACGCTTATTGGATCCTTGCCACCAGCTGATACATCTAAATTGACACAAATAAAATTAATGATGCAGGCCCAATATATTTGGATATGCATGGGTTGGTAATTTCCAACAAAGAAAAGACAAAATAGTACAGTAGTGGTATGCAAGTGATAAATTGCTTCCTGAAGAGGGATGTTTTTGCATTATTACCAAACCAGGCAAAAACCCTGACAAACAATTACCAGAAATTTTATGATCTATAAAAAAAAAATGTAGTCTATTAATAAAAAATAAATAATTGAAATTCATAATAAGATAATAATCTTTTGGTTGATTTGTAATTAACATTAAACAATTATGATGTGTGAAATGATTTCCATGTCAAGGTTGATCGTTATTGACCCAGACATAGCTTAGAGGAAATACATCTTTTATGTCCCTTTTTTATGCTTTGAGGGCTTGCATCAGTAGTAAATTTGTACGCAATGCCCATCAACTTCTTTCTCGGGGAACGGTGATTCACCCAGTACCTGTTTTGGGGTGAGCATGCAAATGATGCCTAGGCGTTTTTTGTGGCCTCACTCTTAAAACCCATCCCTCCGCCCTTGCCCTTTCCCCCTCGTGACGGGGTGATTATCTAGATACTAAGCCTCGTAATTCCAATGGAAAAGATATAGTGAATTCCAGAAATAATTAATAAATGCTTTCTTTGATTTTAAAAAATATTAATAATAGTAATAATCCAACGTTAAATAATTGTAATATTTAATTAAAGAATGTATATTTTACCACCTATATATTTATGAAAACTGATTAAAATCCACTCTCTCATATCCTCATTTTGTTGCTAATTGCTAAAGTCCAAGAAATTTCCTCTTTTTGTTCTATATTGTAATAAATTTTGTGTTTAAGTAATAATACTATTGTACTGTACACTTTGGTACATTTCATTTTCTTCTGTAAATAATCCTCCTACATTTCACGACAGTGAGTAGCAAAAATCACCAGTAATTTTGATGCTCAAGTACAAAAATTGTTAATTTTTTATTTATATTGTAGGAATTTTTTAAATTAATTTATATTAAACTTTAAACGTTTTTAAAAATCATAATTTCTCTAAATAATCCCCTGAAAAAATGTGTATGTTTCTAGATGGTGCCTAGCAAACATGCCTTTGGTTGCAGTCCAGGATTTTTTTTTTTTTTGATATTGTAATAAATTTTAACTTTAATAATAGTATACTGTACAGCGATTTGTAAAATATTATTGTCAGTCATAAAACATGCAAACATTATAACAGTTCCTTAGTTATTAACTATTAGTTCTCTTGTTCCTTCTTTCAGTCGAAGAATTATTTATAAATTTTAAATAAACTTAATAAAATCAAGTATTTTTAACTTTGGTTTTTATAGATCTAATGAAGTTCAAAAGTCGATAACTTCATCAGCTTGTGTCATTTCATGTCAAAATGGAATATTTCCTACTATTTTGGCATGATTGACATTACAGATCAGGGTATTTAACGGCTTTGTCTTTGTAACCAGTCAACCAAAAAAATCACTAAATCAATCACTTTGAACCTTCAAAATGGATGAGCAATGAACTATTGACATTGTCATTCATTTGATCATGATATGAAACAATAGAGTTTGCTGATAATGATCAGTCAGCCAATAAAGCAACAGCAAGTATTGATTGAAAGGTAGTAAACGTCAATAGATAAGTGTTATTTCTTTAAATTCAATTTAATAACAGACGAATGATAAGTGTTCAAATCTCTGCTAGGCTTAACATCTGACTTGAAAAAGAAAAACACCCTAACTTATATGATGAGTAGGGCCAGGAAAAACTGTCACATGTGTTTTGTGTCTTGAGAAGACAGCTCATCACTCGAAATAGAGAATATGGTTGAAATTAATCAAAAAGTATTCTTAAATCTTTTGGAGATTTGTTTTAAAAATATAATCCTCTTTATTTTAAGCAAAGGTATTATCATGCTTAAAAATGCCATATTTTATTTAGACAAATAAAACATCTCTTTTCTCTGTCTAATTCTTTTGTGCATTGTAATTGTAATTATAGCATATTATTATGCTTATTGTTCAGTTGACATTCCTAAATTATCTTTCTACATCAGCCATTGTTCTGTCTCACAAATCGATAGCCCCAGCTTCTGATTTGAATACAGTATTGTACTTTCTTTTGCAGGGACGAGGATTGTTTACGAAAGATCTACGCTTATGTACCTGAGAAATTCCCCGTTGTCGAACACCCCGCCAAAGTTCCTCGATGACTTTCCTTGCAGGAAGGGTGCAGTGGACAAGATCATAACCAACGGATTCAGGAAGAGTCCAAGCAAATGTGAGTGTTTCTTATTATACTTTTAATTTTTTTGTTTGAGTAACTTTTCCTTGATCTTTTGGTTTTTTTTTTCCAGCTCCCAAAAAGGAAGACTGTCTGGAACAATTCGATATGGATATTTAGCTTCCGTGAAGCTGTGAATTTGATTACTGTATTTTTACCAAGGGCCATGTTGGTTACTTAAATGATTCGCACTGTGCTTTTGACCCAGCGGCGTTCGCATAATTAATGGGAAAACACCTAAAAGGAAGTGTTGATTTTTAGTTTTTTTTTGTACTTTGTAAAATTGCAAGATTTAAGTTTGTAAGTCTTGAATTGTTTTTATTTTTTGAGGGTAATTTTTTGTTAAAAGGCTGTGGTCCCTTAACTATCATTAACAGTTTTTTTTGTTATTACAGTTACTTAAAAAAACAAAATAAAATAAAAATAAATATATATAAAAACAAATTGGATTTGCATATGAAAAGACAGATTTTGTGAACGCTTAGTGATGTTTATTAGTATTAGAACACTTATTGTATTATGCCAAAAGGCAAATTTTGAAGAAAGCCTTACTATTAATGTAAATGCAACGAATCCCTGTACTGTTGTGTATGTAATAAGAGTTATGTAAGAAAAATAGTAATACATAAACTAATATCAATTGAATAAAAGAAAAAACGGTGTGTAAAGGTTCCACTCTAAACGATATTTGACATTGGACTAGAAGTAAAATTTTAAATGAATAGACCTGTGTTCATTAAAGATTATGACTCATGTTTTTTTTAACAAATGTTAATCATTTTTTCATGCTACGTTTATCATGTGTTGTCATTAAAATGTAAAAAATTGTATTGTAGTAATAAAAAAGGCAATACTGAACTGTGTGGAGAACTAGTCTATTCAATTATAACATCATATTTCTTAAATACATTGCATTCAACATTTTTAATTTGGTGCCATTGCATTAAATTAAGCTGTAAGCTTTATTTGTAATAGGCTCAATAAACATGTCACACTAATTGTTTTTGTTTATTTTTAACTTGAACCCGTTCTTTATTATTTAGAATGGATGATATAAACTTAAATGCTAGATTTAAAGAGGAATGATTGAATCAATGCTTGCATTCTTCATTTCTTTATTATTATTTTATTTTTTATGATCGTACGCAACAGCAGGGGTCATACGGTCATACCCTAGGTGTAACCAATTCCCTCCCAAGTAATACTCAAGGTGGTGTGAAAACGGTACTGCCGTAAATATGCTACTCGTCCAATCAGTATGAATTCTCTGTGAATGAATTATTAAGGGGAGTTAAGCAACAACCAAATTACCCTTTCGGTTTGATTAGGGTTCGGGTGATAAGGGTGGAGCAACACTTGATGGCAACCTAGTTTGATCACAAACTGGCAAAACTAATACAGCATTAGGCCGAAAAATACCCATGACACGCAAAAAATCTTCCAGTACTCGGATGGTCGTTTCGGTTGTGCGTTCCTTGTGGGACCAGAAAAATGAAACAGATAAAAGCGTCGACTGCCAAGAAGTATATAGCAAGCTGAACTTTGCCTTGGGCAAGGGGCCAATGTGATCTAGGAAATCTCTGCCGTCCTTGTGGGGATGGTAGACGAGAATCTCCCCTTGGCGACGTTCTTTACCACTTCCACTTGGCAAGCACACTTTCACCTATCTCAAGACAAAAGTTTTCGTGTTCGGTCAATAGAAAATTCTCCTGACGTGGTCTAACATTCCTCAAATCCTGGGAGTTAGGATGTTTCGCTGGCATGGAAATAGTCGATGATGGCCGCTTTCAACTGTCAGGAGAGCTGCCACTCTCAATTTCTGAGTGTGAGGGTGTGAGGTGACGTGTGCACCAGAACCCTGCATTTGAGCAGGTAGTTGGGTTCCTGTCTTCTGGCTTCGAATTTTTGTATGCAACGACAGAGTTCCCTCTGTTCCTCAGGAAGTCCAGCAATGCACTCGGGATACGCCGGTAACAGGGAGCACACCTGTGGCTTGTCTCCCAGGAAATGGTCGCTTTTGTGCCTCTCTCTATGCCCAAGCTCGACAAGCTGTAGTGAGACGTTCCCCTTAAGGCAGTTGGTTGGAGCATCTCCACCTTTCGTCCAATTGAAAACTTTTCAGGGTTGACAGTAAAGACTGGCTTCTCGAAGCTGAGAGAAAACATCTAAAAGTTGTTTATGATCTTCAGCTGTCCACGAATACACGAGAAAACCGTCGACATATACGATCAAGAAGTTGTAGGGGCAGGCGGGGAAAATCTTAAGGTTTGTTATGACTTAGGACGATTTCACCAAACACATTGGTAGTTTTCTGAAGGTGAAGGTTCCAAGAAGGATGAAAATGAGACTTACTTATGCGATTGAGGTGTGAGGCCGCCAACCTGGTAGTATGACTGGTTGAGATCCAGCGTCGAAAAAATCCAATCCCCTTTGAAGTGGCGAAAAACTGCCTTGATCATTGGCATTTGGCTGGCCACGTTCACAATTCTCTTGTTTAACTCCAATAATCGATGTTCATTCCATTCATCGGAGGGCACCCCCTTGTGCTTCATCAGGCCCGTCTGCTGCCTCGGTCCTGTAGATGACGCCCTTCTGTAGAAGTTTCAAGAGCTGTGTACCCCCCAATCTATTTTACTGCAGCCTAATCCTTGTTTCTTCTTTTACCTGCATGTCATATTTATGAGGACAGTGAAACCCAGCCAACACCTCTGGGTAGCATTCCACCCAAGCTCTCTATACATCGTCCGTCTGGTCCGCCCACTCGGTAAGGAGTAATTGATGTTGGGTGCAAAATTAAAATTGTAAGTTCCGTTTGATGGATTAATTGTTAGACCTACAGACTTATAAAATCCAAGCTGTTCAGGGCCGGCACCGAGTGACACCACACAATTTCAAACATATATTTCCACTTGAACATAGCAAGCCTTAATTGAGGCCTTGTGCGCGATGGAACGCGTGGTCTTCTGAGCTTCTTTTAATCAGAAAATCCGCAAATTTCTCAGAGACTTAATTGAAGCCCCGGTGTTTACCGATACGCGGAAATTGTACCCCTTTATTTTCGCTTCTATTTCACTTCGAGGTGCATGGGTCTCCTACCTTAATTTCCTTGGGAATCTAGCGTGCAATGGCATGGGTAACCCCCTCATGGCTCATTTTTTGGGTCCCCGAGTTGAATGCACCCAATCAGCACTTATACTCGCTGGTATCCCGGTTCGGCTAGACCTACCCACATCGTCGACCAGATCTTTTGGCCTTGCCCTTCTCTTTTCCTTTGAGGGCGTGAGCCATGTTATGACCCATCTTAGCCTCATTAGACCTTCATCTTGGAACCTGATCCCGATTCTTCTGAGGCGAGGAGGGCATGCACTCGGTAGTCACCGGGGGTTCCTAGGTGGTAGGATATTACATTTGGTGGGAGGATTCACCTTTCCTTCGGCTCTTTCCATGGTTGCTGGGATCCCATTGGCCTTGGACCTTCGTGACTTTGCGAGAACGTTCGAAGCTCCCACCAGCCCATCAACGTAGTCACTGAACCTTTCATTCTCCGACTGCTGACTGTAAATTTTTTCTATCAGCATCATTCTCTCCCACGCAGATAATAGGCCATCGACGAGAGCTCTGCAAAGAGTCTCCCAGCTGAGCTGTAGGCTTCCTGCTATCCCTCGGAAGATCTGTTCTACCTGTAATGCTACCTGTAACAGAATCTGCCTGAAAGCCTGGGTGGGTATTTCCTGAACCAACTCAAGGACCGATTGGGGCAGATTTTCCGCCTTTACCAATGCATGCATGGTTGTTTCAAATGGGCAAGGGCTAGGATGTTGGCATGGTGAACGCTGGGTGTATCGACGGCGCCTGAGGTGGAGGAATGGGGAACACATTTTTCTTGGTTCTGCTCATGGGGAAGGGGGCTTCAACAGTACGGACATCCAATCCGACCATGAGGGGCCGGGTTTCCTCCACCTCTAAGTTGGTATCTACAAAGTCGCTGTTTCAGGCTTTCCAATGAATGATTTGTTCCCTTTTTTCTGTGGGTCCCTACAAGTTGTCTTTCTCAGCCTTCTCACCATTTGCTCCACCGCCAGGGCTCTGAAATCTTTCTCCTTGGCAGACAGTTTCTTGTAAATGGCAGAGAGCTTGGCCAGCTACCCGGTTGTCTTGTACAGAGAAGCAGCTTCTTAAGGCCACCAACCGTGAGAACCTCTCAGACTTCTCTGCTCAATCTGATTCCCATATTGATGTTAGAACCTCACAGTGTGGTTTGCAAGATCAGCGAGGCTCTCCTGATTCGTCTTAGCTATCATAGACCTAGTCATCCTCTTGGGCGACATGTCAATGGTAAAGGTTTGGATTCGCAGGATCTGGATCGCGCATGCAGGAAAAAATAGGAAAGCTGTAGCAGAATATCAAAAGACAGGGGAAAAAGGACTAAAAATGACTCTCTGTGCCAACAACTAATAGAAAATAAAAGGCTCTTTTTTAGGCTTTGTGACAGAATAAAATAAAAATTCTCTCTATTGCCGCCAATTCTTCCCTGTGGTGATCTCAGAAAAACTTGAGTGATTATTGTTACAATTTTATTAGGGTATTAATTATTATATGAACAGGGTACATATGTGGGACGACAGAAAAAGCCTTTCTATCTTTCCAAATGATTTGGGAGGGCATGCAGGTCTCCTCGTCTTTGGGTTCTTCTGTCGGGAAAAATAAGTGGTGTCTTCTTTAATGTGGCATCTCAACTAAAAATCAAAATATGGCTGTATCCCTTTCTTCCACTCTGGAGGGCTTGGCTCTTTATTGGTCAAATCAGCTGGGAGGGGACATGCAAGGGATTGACAGAGACAAGCAACACGGTTGGTGCCGTGGCCATGGAGGGGTCTATCTGTGATGCTCTCCTCTGGGTCCCCACAAATTTAACAATTGATGTTATTTTCAAATTGGTTCCCCTAATTCATACCTAAAATTTTAAACAATCTATAACAAAAGGTCATGGTTATATGGATATTCTACCATTTGTTTGGCTGAGTGGGGCATTGCAGTGGGCATCCGAGTCGTATTTTCAACACTAGTGGTTCTGCATTCAAATCAAGACAGAACTGAAGATTTAAAAAAATTGATTATAGCATGAAAAGTGCATTGTAAAGTGGTTTGACGCCTCGTCTGCTACACCCAATGGGTAGTTGGATTACTTATGAAGGTTATTACTTTCCTTTATTTGTTCGCACACTTTTTAATGGACACTTATTAATTTGGACTGCTTAATAAGCTACCTGTCTCTGGAAAATTTTGTGAGCATCCTAAAATATAAATAAGGAAAAACACAAATAACCATATAATGAATATGAATGTAGTTTGTTTTTTGTCACATTGGGGTAGATTTTGGCAATCCAACCCCTTTTGGAAGTAAGTTGGGTTAGAATTCAGGCCTGCTGAAATTTGAACCTGAAACCCATGATGACTGATCAATGCCTTAGTTGTGACCACCAGTGCCCTTTATTGTTTACTTTCACTAATTTCGTGGTCCGCTTGACCAATTAATATATTACAATTAATTAAGGTTTTTGGTTGAGATAAAAAAAGTCAATGGAACGAGCGGGATTCGAACCCACGATCTTTGGCTAGATATGCCACTGCTCTACCATTTGAGCTATCGTGACCTCGATCCACTCGGACACCAACTTCCAATCTCAACCCACCTTTTGAGTTTTCCCTCCTTTTTGCCATTTTTCAAATGTCGTGTAATCGAATTGGATTCTCGACGACAAATGAAATGGCCACAGAGAGCTTTAGAGAAGTATACTTCATTTTAAATCATTAAATTCACTAATTTCATGGTCCGCTTGACCAATTAATATATTACAATTAATTAAGGTTTTTAGTTGAGATAAAAAAGTCAGTGTCAAGAGCGGGATTCGAGCCCACGATCTTCGGCTAGATACGCCGCTGCTCTACTACTTGAGCTATCGTGGGTTCGAATCCCGCTCGTTCCATTGACTTTTTTATCTCAACTAAAAACCTTAACTAATTGAAACTTATTGTTTACTTTGATTAATTTTGGTCTATTTCGGTTCACAAGATGTTACAATTTTAATCATTGCCCTAAAAAATAAGCTATATTTAGAAATGATCTGTTTGGCCATAAGAGTCCAACTTGAAAAGTAAAACTTAAGCGAATCACAATTTTTAATAGAGGAAACTTATAAATAAAACACTTTATAGAAAATGATTGCATATCATGGGTTTATTAATTACAATTTTAAAACCTAATGTTCAATCCTGGATTATTAATCATTTCTGCATCTTTCTCCTTGTTTTCCGAGATAATAAGATGTTTGGGAAACATGTTTTGCACAATAAATTAATAATTAATTACTTGGTAACAGCTAGCAAAAAGGTAAAAAATATCCCTTCAGAATTTTGCTCAGAACTCTTGTAAAAGGTTTTTGTTTAAATCATTAAATTTATAACTCTTAAAATGTTTATAGCCCTCCTATAACCTACAAATAATATTTACTAATTAATAATATTTAATATTATATTATTATTATCGATACAATCTACTTTGTACAGTCACAAATAAATTACTACATTTTTTTGGAGTACAGGATATCTTTTTTTTATTACGATAGTTTTTGAAAAATAGTCATTAAACTACAAATTTAAAACTGTGGTGAATGAATTACTACCAAAGGAAATTGTGGTAGTACATACACATTGATGTGGCTAAAGTTCATCACAAAGTGTCAGTAATTATTTATTTTTGTATTAATTCATTAATTACACCGGAGTGCACATCATTAGGGTATATTTTAGCAATTTTAAATTCTATATTTTTATCATTTACCTATTGTATCACCTTCATCGCTAAAATTTGTAAGCTATTACAATTCATCTCACTGTACTCACAAAAATACAGTGCCTTTATGTATATGCTATATATACAGGAGGTATTTTCATATTTGACAAATTGTATACAAACGTAAAATATATATATTTTAAAAACTTTTTTCTTTAGAAATCATATTTTCTCTTCTGCCCACATGGTGGAGGGAATTTTTTTTTAAATTTATTATATATAACCCTATTCGAAAACCCTTGAATAGTAGTAACACTTAACTGAAAAATCACTTATTTTGTTTTTAAATAATACAATCACTTAAATATGTATATAAAAATGAAAAGAACAAGCATATCTTCTATGTACAAAACAGGTATTTAAGTATTAAACACAATAAACAATTTTACGAATAAAAGTGAGGTGCTAATATTCTTACCACTAGGTTCATGAACTCACAACACATATTTGTTTTTCCATAACTTTTTAAATTTGTAAGATATAAACATGACAAGTTCGACCTGGATCGAAATATTGGATCGGATGCTAATTTAAATGACGATTAAAGGTGTTAAAACCTTTCAACCGTGCCAGAATTATATATATATCTTCATATCCTATAAAACTATAAGAATATCACTCCGTTATTAACATAGTATTTTTTTTATCTTTTAAATGAGATATTAACATTTTGAATGTGATAACTATGATCCTTTTTTTACTATCTGTGTTTTATTTACAGTGTTTAGAATGTGGCTCAATCAGGAATATAAGTTACAAAACAGCTAAATAAGAAAGATTTGACTGCATTTAAAAAATAAAAACAAAGCTCTTCTTTGTGATAATCAGATTTAAGGATCATAGTATCAGCAATTAGAACAATATTATATAAATATTGCTAATCCAGACTTTTTATTTATTTAAATATATATATATACTAAAGAGCATTAAAAACCATTCAGTCTGTTCATGTGCTACAAAACTTTTTTTTTTAAATCCAAAAGTGACCAAATCCTTAATATCTTTAGCATATACATAAAACTGTCGGTTTTTGTACTTACAAACTACAAAGGGCAGTGGGTTTAAAAAAGATGAACAATCAGTTGTACTTAATTGGAAACATAAGGATAAACAAATTTGTAACTGATGTTAAACATTATTGTCTTAATACTATTCCATACACTAGAAAATTTTAAAAACAAATACTTTTCAATGGTTTAAAAAAAAAAAATTATACGCAAAAAAAACTATTTTGTATGTTTTCCCTTAACCTTTAAACACATAAAATTATGTTTTTAATAAAGTATAGTTATTATAGTAGAATGAGTAAAAGTAACAATACTTTTTTTTTTACAAAACATTCACCATGCTAGTAAGCGATAATAAAACATTGAAATCAACGGAATAAAAACAAAATTATCTTCAAATAATTTACTTATTTCTGCAAAATTATTCCTAGTTCAACACAAGATGGATATCAAAGCTTGGAATGACAGCAGTTAAAAACTGTGGGACTTAAAATCAACTTCCCAAAATACTCCCTAAAGGGTTTTTAATAACGTTTAAAATTTTATATATCATGTTAACTACGAGCGACTTCTTTGTACAAGGCATTTTCACTAATAAGGAAACGAATCAAAGAATTAAGAAATGAGCCTGACTGATTTATTCCATCAGGTACATTAGCAGAGTCGATGCTCTGAAATAGTATTAGAATGAGCGCTCCCGTCTTTTTCCTTTTATTTTCTTACAACACAAAAAACAATTCAGACGGACAAATTAAAACTTTTATGATTAATTAGAAAGTGCATTTTATTTAAAGAAAAAAAAAGCTCATTTAGAAAATATATCAATTTTTCAAAAAATGTTCTTGGGAAGTGAGATTTTTTAAAATAATTTGATTGAAGGGGATTCATAAACAGTGTATCACAAGAAAAAAAAATATAGTTCAGTATATCTATACGTTGCCAGACGTATTGATATGTTTCAACATTTTCTTACATTAAATGTTTAAACGAAATGTTATAAATGAGCAGGGATGCAATTTGACATTCCCTTTATATAGAGCTAGATTCTGTTTTGGGAATCTTCAAATTACTTTTGGAGGGTATGTTGTTTTTCTCTTTTTTCGTTTTGTTTTTATACAAAGATTTTCATGAGATTTTACTTTGTTGGTTGGGAGGTTCATGTTGGTTGTATTTGGACGCTGAATGAGGGCAGGAGGAGACAGAAGGGAAGCCATCATTTGCTCTACCGTCTTGAAGCCGCCGATTCGTCCTCGGCCGACGCAGAAGGACGAGGTTGCTGGCTACCATTGTGTGAGTGTTCATACTCCATCACTTCTTGGTATATAAGCTCCTTCCACTGTTCAACTGAATGTTCACGTTCGTCTACTGAGTGATCGTACGGACCAGGTGCAGGCTTAAAAAAGTAACACATTGATTATAATCAATTAATAACAGTTAATTATATATAAGTTATGCTTGGTGCTAGGTGAAATGTTTGAACAATTGATCGTTGCTGATCATGGTATGTCTATAGATATTGTCAGGGTTGTATATATATATTTTTTTTTAAATAATGAACAACAGAAAGAACAAGTCTTTTTATAAGTAGTAGATATTTCAAAGCTGCCTTGCTTCCTCTTCAATATATAAAAATCTTTAATCTTCAAAAAATCTGGTTTGTAAATAGTTATGACAAGTGACCTCATGTTTGCGAATATTTTTTTCTTTTGAAAAGTTAATAAAATACTTACAGCATTGACTTCTCCTTCATCGTACCACACATTGATGTAAGGATGCATTAGAGCCTCATCAACGGAAATTCTCTTTTCCGGATCAATAACTAGCATCTGTGAGAGCAAGTCACGAGCTTGGCTTGCTGTAAAATTAATAATTGATTAATTATCGTTTATGAAAATAAAATGAGAAAGGCATTACCTTTAAGACGACTATGGTCACTAGAGTCTGATGGGAAAAGCACATCAGGAAAAAGTTTGTCGAATGGGAACCCGGAATAGCGTGGCCGGTTCTCCACATAATTCCTAACAGTGGGTTGCAGCCGCATCATAAATTCTGATGACGGTGTCCCGAGTTGTTCTGAAATGTAGAAAAACAATCAGTAAGCATTGAACTATATATTTATACTATTTTTTTATACCTATGATTTTATTCCACTGGTCGATGTGATCTGTACCAGGGAAGAGTACACCTCCGCGGATCATTTCGCCCATGATACAGCCGACTGACCAAATGTCGACGTTTTCTTTGTAACCCATCCCGAGGATGACTTCCGGCGCCCTGTAGTACCTTGTTACAACGTAAGGAGTCATCATAAACGTGGTGCCGGCTGTTCGGGCTAGGCCGAAGTCTAGAATTTTCAGAGTGCAATCTGACTTCACGACTATATTGCTGGGCTTTAAATCCTGAAAGAGAATCAATAAATGAACAAATTAAACCTTTATTGCTCTTTATAAAGATGTAAAATTTGAAATTTATTTTAGGTAACATTTTTCCCCATGCTATTCGTGCAATATATATATACTAATAATGCTACTAAAATATATACACTTCTATATAATGACAGTAATATTACAAAGAAAACTATTTTTGAAACAATTTTCTTGCCCATACAGGGTTCAACTTTTCTCATACCACCAGACTCCCAAACAGAAGACTTTAAAACTGAATATTTTTATTTATCTTTATACCAAGGCAATAATCATCAAGGAAGATTTCTATTATAATTACAAAGCTGTGCCCGAATCAGTCAGGGGTTTGTGTTGGTAGAATATGTCAGCATGATATTAATAATTGTCAAAAATATGACGTCTCCCAGAGGACTTTGAAATCATTGCAACATCCTGTTCCATATGTAAAGTGACATAGATATTGATGGAGATATGAGTCCAAGTTAAATTTCCAGGCCCATCTTTGAATTGACAGATAACCACTTGGAATAAAAACACTTAGTTATTTAAGAGGAATTAGTTTGAATATACAAACAACAGTGGTATTACAATTTAGTTTTTCTTAAATTTTTTAAATTTAGTTTTTTTTTAAAATAAAACCGATTATTTTTTATGCCACATATTTCAATCGCTATGCATTTTAGGCCACGTCCCCCTTCAAAGCAGTTACTTGAGCTAAATAGAATAGGAGTTCTAAACTCATAAACATATATTTGAATGGAATAAGTCCTGAATATATCTATATTGGTATATTGAAAGTTTTTAGTATATTCGTATACTTCATGTAAGCTTTTGATTCAATAAATCACAATTTGTTGTAGCACAAATGTATTGCCTTGGCATTGGAGGAAAATTCTTGAGTAATCTATTATCCACAATTACATAAATCTGCCAATTTTGTCATTTCTGAAAGGTATAATATGATATAATATTAAGTCCCTTATTATTTTCAATATTTATTCAATGTTTTAGTTTATGAGTTTGGTATTAATAATTCAATATGAATACCCTTATGCAGATGATCTGGTCATATTTGCCCTTTTGTGGCGTGAAATCGAAAAAAATGAATATAATCTCGAAAATAATCAAATTAAAACAACAAAGGCTTAATAATAATTTATCACGAGGAGGTAGGCACGGGTTCTGAAACATTTCGGGAAGGCCTGTAAAAAAAAGTACCCGCCCATAAAATAAAAATTATGGAAGTTGAATCACGCGTAAAAACATCATATCTTTAATTTGAAAGATTGTTTATTAAATCAGAGCGTCAATGACAGTCATAAACTTTGCATCACGCAAATTTTGATTGCCAAACCGGTCTAAAATAACAACCAATTAAGAAAAGATTAATTATTCAAATCGATGAGTTTGATTCGTTGCAGTGAAATGTGCAGTTATAACGTTCGGCCGTTAATTAACAGGCGCGGCCGTTAATAAAGAAAATGGGACTTTTATTAAAATCGACAGCTTTTAATGATTATGCCCCGCAACCATCGATTTGCACACGAAAATGTGATTTTTAAATAAATGCCAAAACGGCTAGTGACACTTACCCTGTGTATGATGCCGGCTGAGTGAAGATGCTTGATACCGCAAAGCATCTGGTAAAGAAGATAAGACATCCTCTCGTGGTCGAGGTCCATTTGTATCACCTGACACAGGTTGGCGTCCATGAGCTCCATGACGAGGTACACGTCCTGGAACTCCTCCAGCGACTTCTGGGGTGTGAACGCATTTAAAAGACCAATTATCTGAAATCAGAGAAAAAAAACCCTTGCAGAAACAGTAGTAAGCAGCAGACTTATTCCATATTCAACCTTTTTTTTCCAAAAATTAATTGAGATTTTTAGTTGAGCTAAAAAAAGTCAGTGTCACGAGCGGGATTTGAACCCATGATCTTCGGCTAGATACGCCGCTGCTCTACCACTTGAGCTATCCTGACCTCGATCCATTCGGACACTAACTTCCCATCTCAACCCCACCTTTTGAATTTTCCCGCTCGTGACACTTAAAACCTTAATTAATTGAAAATATTAATTGGTCAATCGGACCATGAAATCTAGTGGATTTAAATGAAGTATATCTTCACTAATGCTCTCCGTGGCCATTTCATTCGTCGCCGAGAAACAAATAGATTACACGACATTTGAAAAATGGCAAAAAGGAGGGAAAATTCAAAAGGTGGGGCTGAGATGGGAAGTTGATGTCCGAGTGGGTCGAAGTCGCGATAGCTCAAGTGGTAGAGCAGCGGCGTATCTAGCCGAAGATCGCGGGTTCGAATCCCGCTCATGACACGACTTTTTTTATCTCAAATAAAAATCTTAATTAATTGAAAGATATCAATTGGTCCAGCGGACCACGAAAACTAGTGAATTTTTCAAAAATATTGTTTAAAGTCGAAGAAAAGTTGAAATTTTGAAGGGAGGTTGATAATAACTCTACGTTGGGAAATTTGAAAGTTGTTTTAATTGAGGTAGGTCAAATGCCACAACCAAAAGCGACCAGTAAATGCCACTGAACGCTACGAATTTATGCTAATACCCGTGTCAGTGAAACATAAAGAAGTTGCGAGCAGGATTTCCAACTCGTTCAAAATTTGTAACGGCAATATTTCTTTTCTTTTGCATGTAGAACAATAATGTACAAACCATTTTTTATTGAAATTTAGCAGTAAATATAATATATTCTACTATAAAGCAATAAAACAGCATGTTATATCAACATTCTAAATCGTTGAGATTTACACACGCGATTTTAATTTTTGAACGGACTGCTTGACGTTTTAATCCAATAAAAAAATTGAGAATTTTTTCATCTCTCAAATAATATTTAAAAAATACCATTATCCTAAAAATTAAATAACTTACCAAATATGAAAACAATTTATATTTCGATTAAACGAAAAAATCAATTAACAGGAAATTTTCATTAAAAAGCAGTCAACTCGGATGATCAAATATACTGAACATATATTTAATGTCCATTGTGCACATTTTCGTAAAAATTGTACCTAGAGCCTGAGAAAGGATGCGGTTAACGGTACGAAAATTTTTCTTTTCAGGGCCAACGCGAATCACGTAAATGTGTGTGGGTGGCAGACATGACACGCAAATAAATTGCTGGTATTTTTTCCTTAAGAGTTCTTTTCTCTTTGGCAAAGGGCAGGCTTAAAATAGCGAAGGTACAAGGTAAAAGATCGTTTATAGAGTTCAGACCTGACGAGGTTTCAGGAGAACAAAGAATCTTCAAGTAAAATTTTTTGTTATTCAATCCGTCCTCGCTTCCAAAGATGCCTCAAGTTTAATTTAAAAGGGTTTGAAATCTGATCTGAAGACGGACGCCAAAGCATTTGTAGAATTTGTAAATCGAAGCAAGCACCCAAGGACGAGCTCAATAATTCACCTTTGAAGCTGCGGTAGTTCAACCGATTGGGGTTTTCCTTTTACAAAATCGTAATAAAACACACAATAAATGCTAAGTAGGTCAAAAAAGAAGACAAATTTGAAGAAAAAATAACCCTAAAACGTGCGAATAATGAATGCTAAAGACATAAAAGAAAGGTTATTCAGTTTATTAAAAGATAATTCCACTATTACAAAAGAATAAATAGTAAACTAGAAAAAAATAAAAATTTTTTACAGCTATGTTTAATACCTCTCCATGTTTAGAAATACATTAACTGAGCACTAAACCAAGGGGTAAAAAAGAACCCAACCCCTACATTTTACAAATCAAAACGTAGTTCCAAAAATGTAAAAATAAATAAATAAAACCTCTCCACTTAAATATGAATTGAGATCATGTAAAAAAAACGGAAAATCTATGTTAAAAGAATTTTCGAAATAAAGGGGAGAGCAATCTTGTTACAAAAAGCATACCCTCCTCACGCGTCTTCCGTCGGGCATAACTCAGAAAAGGTTGATTCTATCAAAATTTTCCTTTCAATAAAAATGGCATAAAATAAGCTCTAGAATCGAATTGTACAATAAAAATGTGGGATTCTCATTTAAAATAACGAAGTCAATGTCATTTCCCAGTTAGATAAGAAGGTTATGTTAAATCTGTTACCACCACGTGATTCTTAGCCAAAATTAACTTGGGGGTGTATAAGACTATTTTAGGCTAAAGTTAATCGTTTTCGAAATAAAGGGAGTAGGCCATCTTGTTACAAAAAGCATACACCCCCCCTCGGAAATGGTCGATCCTATCAAAATTTTCCTTTTAGAAAAAGTGGCTTAAATAAGCTCTAGAATCGAATTGTACAGTAAAAATATGTGATTTTCATTTCACATAACAAAGTTAGTGTCATTTCCCAGCTTTATGAGAAAGTATGTTAGGTTTGTATAAGACCATTTTTGCTAAATTTAATAGTTTCCTAATTAAATGGGTGGACTATAGAAGTTGGACAATACACCCTGCATAAATTTAAAAGAAAGGTCAACTTTGGAAACAAATGAACGATTGCTAAGCACAAAACTTATGCAGTTACGCTGGGTTGTTAAAAAATTTAAAGACATTTAGAAATACCATTTTACTATGACATCATAGACCATGAAAGGAAAATAATAAAAACAAAAAATGATCACTTCATCTGAGCAGAAAATATATGCAGTTATTATGCTGGGTAGTTAAAAAAAATCAAAATCACTTAGAAAGATCGTTTTACCATAAAAGTAAAACAAAAAAACTTGAGCTTGTACAATCCCAAATTATGAGCAATGCAATTCTATCTTTCAACCTGCAATCCTGCTATCAATACTTGTACTTTGGAAAAACCCTTAAAAAAGTTTTCACTGACAAAAATTTCTCATTAGGTTTGGCAGCTATTAAGCATTCACATGTATAAAAAAATCAAATGAAAATTTAAAATCTCCAAAACTTGGGGAAACACAACAACGAAAATACCAATTGCTGAATGGAGACATAACCTGAGATACAAAGAAAACTACGTGAAAGGAATTGAAGAATCGACAATCGATTACTTAATACTTCTTCAGGGAAGCAGTCGATTGCAGAGAACTAGGGACTGAAAGGAACAAGGAAAAGTTCAATAAGCCATAAGGCTGCAGTGCTAGTAAAAGAAAACTTCTTAGTCTCCATATTCATCATCATCCAACTTGAAAAATAAATGAACAAATGCTGAGCGCAAAACCCTCAGTAGTTATGCTGGGTAGCACAGACCCTAAAATTTGTAAATAATTATTCAGAAATCGTGATATGCGGTCTGGTGTGATGTAAGTTTCAGAAAAACATTTTCTTTATCGTGCCAACGTTTCGATCTTTATTGAGATCATCTTCAGGGCCTGGGATTTACAGACAAATCCTTATCAAAAATGCCTTTCTATACAGACTTCCTTCCCCACCCCTTCAAAATCCAACGTATATAAACATAAAACAGCAAAATCTCACTGGCACTCTCAACACGACACGCAAGAATGGCACAATTACACAGATGACAAACACTTTGAGTGAGTAGAAAAATAATTTGATTGAATATTAAAAAAATATTTTTTCATTGCATAAATTCACTTGTTTCCACATCCTACAGGTATTTGTTAAATTAAAACAATGTTCGTAAATCCCAGGCCCTGAAGATGATCTCAGTAAAGATCGAAACGTTGGCACGATAAAATGTTTTCCTGAAACCTACATCACACCAGACCGCATCTCACGATTTCTGAATAATCATCGACTAACGGTCACTAATCACCACAAATTTGTACATAGTTGACAGGGTGTATAATACCAATAATACAAGTAAATAATTCGATCTCAACTTACCATTCTTTGTGCTAGAGAGAACTAGGAGGACGAGGATGTATAGGGAGAGAAACTATAGAGATATTTTTCTTATCAATTCCCTAACTTTTGCAATTACACTTTAGTTTAACTCGACTTAAACGAGTTTGAATATTTAAGGTTTCCATTGTTCGTAATAACGTCAAAACAGCAGGAAATTAATATTGTTTAATTAATTTCAAACAAATTAACAACGTAATAATCGCCGGTGACGTGACGATGATTTTTTAATTGGCACTAAAGATTTTAAGCGAGATTAATTAATATGTACTGTAGGTTGACGAACAATACACCGCAGCATGGAATTTTCTTTATTAACAGAACGTTTTGTGACGCACATTGTTGGGAAGTCTACTGGATATACAAATGTAATTAACACTGAAGAGGACACATGTCACGATGTCGAAAACGTTCTGTTAATAAAGCAAATTCCATGTTCAACAACCTACAGTACAAGTGATAGGATTGTAAATTAATCAGCAAAAAGATTTAAATATTATCTACAAAATATATAAAATATGGGCCTTTTTTACCACAATTTCAGACGTTTTAAATTATCAGAATGACCATTATTAATCATCTGTGACCGAGTGATCTCGGTGTTTGACCTCGGTCATTTCGGTTTAAAACCAGTATTTTAACTTTCTCGAAGAGTGAGAGGAAAGAACAAAATGAAACGTAAGAAGTCCCTATAAATTTTTCTGAACTGAAAAAGGAAAAGGAAAGGGGATCAAATAAAACTCAACTAGCTGGAAAACTGAATGAATACGCTAGAATATTTGCATGTTGGCTGGTTCTACTCAAGAAAGAGGAAATGTCAAAGCCTCGGTACCGAGGTGATATTTTATTTTACAAATTAGAAAAATAGTAACGAGTCTAAAAGTGGGTTGTTTGTTTAATGATAGAAGGCGTACTTGTTTTTCTATGATAAACGACCCAGGCGTTGATACTT